ATTGTTTAATGAGTTTCAGTTTTGCAAGATAAAATAGTTCTGGAAATGTATGGTGGCAATAGTTGTACCACAACGTAAATGTACTTAATGCCACTGAACTGTACCCTTACAAATGGTTAAGATGATACATCTTAGGTTATGTATATTTCATCATGATTTTTAAAAATAAATAATAACGTTGTTAAACTCACCATCATTGGAAAGACAATGGCGGCTGGAGATGCCTTAATGACCCAGAGCAGGACAAGGCAGGTGAGCTGGATGAGGGTGAAGAGGTGCACTTTGCGCAGGGGCACGTGCCGAAGGTAGATAAAATCCGGCTGGTGCTTTGCAGGCATCCCAAAGAGCTTCAGACGGTCAAAGAACTGAAAGGAGAGAACTGGCATTTATTTTCAGGAGGTTTCTTTGAGTCAGAAGCCTTGTGAGGCCCATTCATGTCTCTTACATCACCCGCTTTGAAAGGTTACCTACCACTGGACAAAAATGGAAACTGAGGGCGCCTGGGTGGCTCAGTCGGTTAAGCATCTGCCTTCAGCCCAGGTCATGATCCCAGGGTCCTGGGATCGAGCCCACATCGGGCTCCTTGCTCAGTGGGGAGTCTGCTTCTCCCTCTGCCCCTCCCCCTGCTCATGCTCTCTCTTGCTATCTCTTTGTCTCTCAAATAAATAATAAAAAAAAAAAAGTAAAAAAAAACTCTTAAAAAAATGGAAACTGAGTCTCAAAGAGTATAGGTAATTTGGCTGAGGTTGGTATGTGACAGAGTCAAAATTTAAATCCATCTCTTTTTTTAAGATTTTATTTGTTTGAGAGAGAGAAAAACAGAGACAGAGAGAGCGAGCACGAGCAGAGGGGAGCAACAGGTAGAGGGAGAGGAGAAGCAGGCTCCCCGCTGAGCAGGGAGTCTGACATGGGGCTCGATCCCAGGACCCCAGGATCATGACCTGAGCCGAAGGCAGACACTTGACCAACTGAGCCACTGAGGTGCTCCTATTTTCTTTTTTTTTTTTTTAAGGTTTTTTTTAAGTAATCTCTATACCCAGCACGGGGGTTGAATTCACAACTCTGAGACCAAGAGGCACATGCTCTATATACTGAGCCAGCCAGGTGTCCCTAAATCCATCTTTTCTAATTCTAGGTTCAAATTTCTTTCTTCTATCCCACACTGGCTCCTGAGAGATCTTTCTCAGGGAGTGTTGAAAATAAAATAAGCCAGTTCCATCTTTCTGCTTATCAAAACCAAATCTCTTACTTGTTCTTTGAGGGGTTTGAAGGTTTTCGTTGATTATTTATAATAAAAAGATAAAAAAAAAACCTTCATAACATTCTGGATATAGAACATATGATCATCCTTATATCATAAAAAGGAAAACAGGGGCGCCTGCGTGGCTCAGTCAGTTAGGCGTCTGCCTTCTGCTCAGGTCATGAACCCAGGGTCCTAGAATGGAGCCCCATGTCAGGATTCCTGCTCAGCAGGAAGTCTGTTTCTCCCTCTCCCTCTGCCGCTCCCCTACATTTGTGCTCTCTCTCTCTCTCTCACTCCCTCTCTCTCTCAGATAAAGAAATAAAATCTCTATAAATAAATAAATTAAATTAAAAATGAATAAAAAGGAAAACAGAGACCCAGAGGGATTCAATAACCTGCCCAAGGTCACATTAAAACTCAGTGGGTAAGAATGACCGTTGGACATTCCATAAAAACAAAGAGGAACCAGCCACCAATAGAAGAAACTAAGTTATCGAATCATCTGGGGTGCCCACGTTATCTGTGGCCAGCTCCTGACTTTCTATGTTCAAATGACTCGGAGGAATGAGTTGACAGATGGGCAAAGGCAGAGCGTGACAGGAAGTAGTACCCGCTTACCTGGAGCAGCCCCCACTACTACCGGTCCCGTCTCCCTCGCTCACACTGCAGCCCTGGCCCGACAACTAGCGCGATCCGTGCGTGGAAGCCTAATATCTGTCTGTTACATAGCTAATGAATGACTGGCACCATGAATGACATCAAGCCAGGCCATCCTGAAAGTCTCTGTACCCTCATGCCAGCTTGACTGTCCAAATGACTTGCCCAATGCCCAAAGAAACGTCTCAAACAGCTTTAACCCGCAAACCTAGGAAAGGGGTTCTCAGGAACGGGTTTGTGTGTCCCTGGGAGAGCCCTCCCTTCCCGGTCAGGATGGATGAGCTCGCGGTGCAAAGCCGTTGCCCTAGCTGAACCATGCAATACCTGAATTCCTTGTAGTGAGGAAACTCCCATGTAGAGGAAAACTCCATAGAGTACTGGCATTGGGATAAACTGAAGACAAAAGGGCAAAAAGACCAGAAATTAAATTAGGTATCATAAACTTCTAAATCTCCAAGAAGGAAACAAAGTCCCCAAACCACTGCATAAACACTGCATTAGTTTCTGCTACCTTTGCACGATTTAGAAGGAGAAGCAAAATCAGAAGCTGACAATGATGAAAAAAAAATCATTTTGTTCTGAAATGAAATGATTACACATAAGAGTAATCCGGCCCTGGTTAAATCGTAGGCCTCACATTTTACCCCTGCTCTTCCTCCTCCGTGGGCATGGGTGGACACACACACACACACATCCCCCTTTTACAGAACTGATACCTTTTAAAACTAATTACATAATCAATCATCTCAGGGATTTGGCGTGTTTTAACATGGACTAAAAAGTTTCCTTTCTGCTAACAAGAGCCTTAGGGAAAGGAATGGGGAGGTATCAGAGAGGGAATGATTTGGGGAGAAATATCAATATCATTAACTGCCCTTGAATATACATACACACCTATCACATCTCATTGGTAATCTTCAGGGCAACTCGATGAGGTAGGGAAATGAGGCCTGTGGAATGAAGGCAAGGGAAGTCTTATAGCTAAAGACTAAACTTGACTTGCTTTTATTCTGAAGCTAAAGAACATTCCCAAACATAATTCCTCTCAGAACTAGAAAATCCCCATTGGATTTTATGCTGTTTCAGCTGTAGAGTGAGTAGACATCTCAGTTTGGTGCTAACCTTGCTTGTAGAACTACTGAATGACTTCCTGAAAGAAGACTTCTGAGCCAGTTCTAGGAAGGCCCAGTGATGCCCACTGGCCATGCCTTTGTGGTTACCTTCCTGGACAAGCAGCAACCTTTGGGTTCCTCCAAATGGCAGCTAGACCAGAGGTAGGAGTGGGGACCAGGCTGGGGACAGAGAGTAGAAGGGGGTAAGGGGGCATGAGGAGAGGTGGATTGGGTGGAAAGTAAGGGGCCAGGAAGATGGTTCCAAATCCTTTACCATTTACTCAACTGTCACCCTTAAATAGCACCCTTAAATAGCACCCTTAAATAGCCAGGAAGATGGTTCCAAATCCTTTACCCTTTACTCAACTGTCACCCTTAAATAGCACTCACAGTGCAAGCTGGGGTGGTTGAAGATTCACCAAAAGAAGGAGAAAGGAGGCAAGGGAGCCAAGTAATGGGGCTTGGCGATACAGCCATAGAGCTTTCCTTTTCACCCCATTTTTCCCAGATGCAAAACTTACACCTACAAAACTAAATATTTTTTTCTCACATTCAAGGTATCTTCCATCTTTCCCAAAATCCTTTTTTAACCCCATGTCTCACACCAGTCACTGCCCATTTTCTGTTCCATTTCAGAAAAATCTCTTGAAAGAGCTGTCTGCCCACGATCTCTTTACTTCTCACCTCCTATTTGCTCTTCACTTCCCTGTAATTCAACTTCAGCCCTATCATTCCACTGAATCTGTTCTTGTCGAGTCACGTTAGGCCCCCATGTTGCCAAATCCAATGGCTTGGTTTAGTCCTTATCTTTCTAGACAGATTCTAACCAATCCCTCTTTCTGGAAACATTCCCCTCACTTGGCTTCCCTGATACCACACCCTCCCGGTTTCCCTCCTACCTCTCTGGCAGCTCCTTCTGGGTCTCTGTTGCTATCTCCTCCTCTACCCGACTTCTAAATATTGGAGCTCCTTAGACTCTGCTCTTGCCTCTGGGCCTACTTCTCTTTTATATCTACCCTTCTCCCTGAGTGATCTTATCTACTCCCATGGCTGTACCACTAAGTGCTGTTGACTCCCACATTTATATTTTTAATCCAGAACCTTCCTCTAGCTTCTTCACACAGTTGCCTCCTGGATATCTCACCCAAAATCTGACCATAGCCCCACCACCTCTCACAAAATCACTTCCTCCTTCAAGCAGTCTTTTCCATCTTAAATGTCAGTACTCTCCACCCAGATGGTCAAATCAGAAACCTAGCAGGCATTTTGATTTTTCCATTTTCCACTCTCCATTCCACATCCACTCAATCAGCAAGACTTTGGGTCTGCCTCCAAGATATACAGAAGTCATGCCTTTTCTCCATCCCTTCCCTACTCAAGTCACCAGCATCTCCCACTTATAATAGCCTCACTAGCAACTCTGCTTCTATTTTTCCCAACCCTAAAAACTTATTCTCTAGACATTGGCCAGAGTGATCTTTTAAAAAATACTAAATGGAGGGGCACCTGGGTGGCTAGGTCGGTTGAGCGTCTGCCTTTGGCTCAGGTCATGGTCTCTAGGTCCTGGGATCAAGCCCCGCGTCAGGCTTCCTGCTTAGCAGGGAGTCTGCCTCTCTCTTTCTCTCTCTCTCTCAAATAATCCCTCTGCCTCTCCCCACTGCTTGTTCTCTCTCTCTCTCTCAAATAATCTTTAAAAAAATAAGTAAAAATAAAAATATTAAATGGATCATGTCCCTTGCCTGAAAGTTAACCCTTCAAAGGTTAACTTTACCAGAGTCAACAAGGCCCTGCATGATCTGCCCCTACATGCTCTTCACTCTCATCTCACTATGCTCTTGCCTTGACTCAATACCCTTGAGCCACATGGCCCTCATACTTCTTAGAACACATATCACTCTTTCCCATCTCAGGGCCTGACTAGATTGCTATTCTCCCTTTCCCCATGCTGGCTCCCTCCATCCGTGGCATGGCTGCTCCATCTCATCTTAAATACCATCTCTGTAGAAGCCTTCTCTGACCACACTAACTAAAACAGCACTCCTTAATTCTCTAAGGCACCATAGAACACTATATATTTCCTTTTATCATTTTCATATTCTATAATTATCATGTTTGTTTCCTTTCTTTTTTTTTTTTTACCCTTCCTTCCCCTCTCCTCTTTTTTCATTTTTTTTTTTTTTTTTAAGTAGGCTCCATGCCCAGAGTGGAGCCCAACACGGGGCCTGAATCCAAGATCCCAAGCTGAAATCAAGAGTCAGAAGCTTAACCAACTAAGCCACCCAGGCGCCCCTCTTTTTTTTTTTTACGATTTTATTTTTGAGTAATCCCTACACCCAACATGGGGTTCGAAACCACAACCCCGAGATCAAGAGTCATATGCTCCACTGACTGAGCCAGCCAGGCGCCCCTCATGTTTGTTTTCTTAACTAACTTCCTTAACTACATCTTGTCTGTCTTACTGTGCTTGAGTAAGCTCTTTCAGGGCAGGTATTTGTATGTGTATCTCTTTGGTGTATCACTGTATTCCCAGTACCTAACGGAATTCCTGACACAAATCAGGTATAAATATTTATCTAACGTGTGAATGAATGGTTACCTTTAATATGGCCGTCATGAAGACTGAGCAGCCCATCAGCACAAAGATCATAAGGCCTGTCACTCTCTGTTCTCGGATGCCCAAGAACTTGGGTTGTTCTCCAGGAGCAGAGCACTCAGATTCTAGTTTGAGGCTGTTCACGTGTGTGATGGACAGGACAGTTGCAGCCACAAACCAGGGCAGGCCCATGATGGAGCAGACACCCAGCATGATGGCCACCATCAGCAGGTCCAGGTGGTAACCACAACCTTTCTGTGGGGAAACAGAGTCTCCGTCACCACCCGTGGGCTGGCTGTAGTGGGGCACAGAACAGTGAGCTAAGAGTCTCAGGCCCAAAGCAGGAAGGGGTATATGGGTAAGGAAGAAGGGGTCCAGGGATCCCAGATGAGTCTTCCAGCCCCTCCTGGTGTGGAGGGAACAGAGAAGGAAAACAAAAAAACAAAAAACCTTAGCCTATCCTATACATGCCATATCCATTTTTTATTCAAGTGCCCCCAGATCTCACCCAGAGTCTCATACATTCAAAGATTCACCTTTTCTTGGCAGAGTAACCAGAGGCCAAGCCACATCTTGATCATCCTAGTGTCTAGATGGTAGACAATACAGGAGTTGGAGATAAATGGCTTCTTACAAACACTCCCAGATCCTTGACAAAATGGATTTGCCTACTCTATATAAGGAAAGAACAGAGATGAAGGCATGAAGCCTCTCACTAATAAATGTGCTGGAATCAACCCTATCTCCTTAGAATCCCTGCGCTCAAGGTTCAGTCTGGAAACCCCAGTAATGGACACCAATGGGAGAATATCTGACGCTCGGAAACAGTGGCCCAAGCCCTGAACTGAACCTCAGAAAGATAAGCCTGTGTAGGGACCACAAGGAATTTTGCCCACCCACCTTCCCCACAGGTTTGCAAGGACAGTAACGGAGTCCAAGCTCCCTTCACATCATTCCATCATGCTCTACTCTGGTTTCATCTCCAAACCAATCTTTGTCATTAATGGAGGGATTGGAAACCCCTGAAAACCCTTTATGAGCTCCTTCCATGATTGTTTTTATCCAGGTTCTATCGTTCCTGGTCTAAAAGGGCTTACCCTAAAAACAAAACAAAACAAAACAGTAACAGGCTGCCATTTGTCCTTCTAGGTCAGAACTTTTGTTACCTTGAGCTTGTGCTCCTTCCTGTTAATGATGACAGCTGTGATCTGCTGGTCCATGAATATTAAGATAGTGCAGAGAAGAGCCGGGATAATTGCAGCTATCACAGTCCACCAGGGATTGGGGCCAATGGGACTAATAATCCACCCTCGATCATCCCTTGTTGGCTACAGGGGAAAAAAACAAAGTTTTATTTTTGTATTTTAACTATAGTCATTAGGGCAAAATAGATCAAACTGAATCACAATATCCACATTATTTTTATTCTTAAATGAGAATCCTTTAAAAAAGAAAAAGTCACGTGAGGTGCCTGGGTGGCTCAGTCGGTTAAGCATCTGCCTTCAGTTCAGGTCATGGTCCCGGGGTCCTCGGATCGAGCCCCACTTTGGGCTCCCTACTCAGCAGGGAGTCTGCTTCTCCCTCTCCCTCTGCCTGACGCTCCCCCTGCTCGTGTTCTCTTTCTCACTGGCTTTCTCTCTCTCAAGTAAATAAAATCTTAAAAAAAAAAAAAGTCATGAAATAGAGCAACTGCTTAAGAAATCTATGACCTTGTTCCAAATTCCCTTTGAGTCAATTCTTGATTATCAACTTCCTGTGAAATATTCATTAATCCTTTACTTCTTCCCCTACTCTCCAAACCCACATACAGAAAAAGAAATTTATCTGAACGTTAGTCCAAGTAAAATAACAAAATCCGTTGTCAAAAAAGAATTTTAATACAATTATAATTGAGGCAAATATAAATAATTTTGACTATCCTCCTCCAGATTTTGGACTGCTCCCCTCCAGAAGCCATATAATGTATGTCTACAGCACAAAAAAAGGCAGAGTAGAGCCAGTTGCTTGGAATCTCATGGGCTTAGATTGTATTGGTCCAGGGATGAAGGCATGTGAAACAGGAGCCCAGGTACTAGAGACTTGAGAGAAGAGCCCAAGACTACTGAACTTGGGGGCTTGTTAGGTCTAGGACCCTCTCCAATACCCCTGTAAGACCACTACTGTTCATAAATCTTGTTTGAGTGTTAATGACATACCTAAACTCTCCTAGATCCTCAAACCCCTTCCAGGGTACTCTGGGGAAGAAACACTCCCCTTGTTTGGCAAGTAGTAATGGAATATAAAAGGCCAGGGATACAAAATGGCCCAGAATTAACCCAAACTCAATGAACAAAGCAAAGACTGTTATATCCAAAGTAGTTGGGTCCATATTGGTCACAACTCTAGGATTCAAAGACTGATCAATAATGCCAACAAATCCCAAATTATGAATGGGTTAAGTTCTGAAAGTTTATAGAATCCATGTCTCCTTAGTAACAATGTTTTAAGTGATAGTTAAATTCTCAGGTCAACACAAGAATTTACTAAACTCTGACCTACATGGGGCGCCTGGGTGGCTCAGTTGATCAAGCATCTGCCTTCAGCTCAGGTCACGGTCCCGGGGTCCTGGGATCAAGCTCCCTGCTTAGCAGGGAGTCTGTTTCTCCCTCTCCCCTCTGACCACCACCCCCTGCTCGTGCTCTCACTCCCTCGCACTCTCTCTCTCAAATGAATAAATTTTTTAAAATCTTAAAAAAAAAAAACCAAACCTCTGACTGACATTAACACACCAGTAATAGTACTGGCCTTTGGATTGGGTCTTAATCACCAGGGGCCATGTGACATAATAGGGAAGGAAAGAAGGAAGAAAATTTCTTCTCTGCTTCCTGAAAGCGAGGCCTGCCAATGAGCAACATTTTCCTTGACATTCTCCCATTTTCCCTTCTTATCTCTCTCCCACCTCCCAGAGGCCTTCTTCCCAGATGTCCCAGAAATTCAGTACCTTCTGACTATCTTAAGCCTACCCATCAGGGAACCTTTCCAAGGACTACTTAATGTTATCAAATTACTTATTTTTACACCAAACCCATTCCTCCTGGAGGGGTGACCTCAGCTAGGTATTAGAGAGAAAGCTGACTGCACTCATTCAAAGGCGAGAATGACATATTCTCGGAGGAATTATATTTTTAAAGAGGGTGTTTTTTAATCCACAAATTTCTAACTGATGGCATTGCAGTGCATTTAACAAAATAAAATTAAAATTTTTCAGGCAATATGGAAAAAGATATTTTTAACCAGGCCTATTTCAGGGAGGGAGAGAAAAAGAAAGGGAAGACAAAGACGCACGGTACAGGGATGTTTATAAGCCAAGGACTGCCTTTATTCCCATCTTCCTTCTCCTCCCCAGACTCTCCTGCCTTCTCATTGTAGGATTCTTCTCAGGGCACTGAGGACACCCAGGCTTTCCCTCCCCTCTGCTCTTGTGGGGCCTGTGGAACCGAGCTCAGCTTCCCATCCTCTGTGTTACTCAGTGCCCCTCAAATGAAATAGATCTAGAGTCCCCCATATGATCATTTGTTTGACTTTTTTGTATACATTTTGGGCAAAAATTTTTTTTTAATTTTTTTTATTAACATATAATGTATTATTTGTTTCAGGGGTACAGGTCCGTGATTCATCAGTCTTACACAATTCAAAGTGCTCACCATAGTACCTACCCTCCCTAATGTCCATCACCCAGCCACCCCATCCCTTCCTCTCCCCTCCACTCCAACAACCCTCAGTTTGTTTCCTGAGATTAAGAGTCTCTTATGGTTTGTCTCCCTCTCCGGTTTTGTCTTATTTCATTTTTCCCTGCTTTCCCCTATGATCCTCTGTCTTGTTTCTCAAATTCCTCATATCAGTGAGATCATATGATACTTCTCTTTCTCTGATTGACTTATTTCACTTAGCATAATACCCTCTAGTTCTACCACGTCATTGCAAATGGCAAGATTTCATTTTTTTGATGGCTGCATAATATTCCATTGTATACATATACCACATCTTCTTTATCCATTCATCTCTTGATGGACATCTAGGCTCTTTCCATAGTTTGGCTATTGTGGACATTGCTGCTATAAACATTGGGGTGTATGTGCCCCTTCAGATCACTACATTTGTATCTTTGGGATAAATATATTTTGGGCAATATATTACAGATTATAGAGAGTTACACAAAGAAACAATGAAATAGGGCTGAAGAGCTGTCCTGGTTACTCTGGCAGGAATGCTACACTGTGGGTGAGGCCCCCTGGCCCACTCACCTCTTCACACGGCAAGATCCTTGAGGACAGGGGCCAAGTCCTAATCCAGCTTCTTTATCCCTTCCAGTGCCCTTAGAGAGTTGATGCTCCATGAAAGCTGTTAACCATATTTGTTCCAGGGACCCCACATTTCCACCAAATGTGGTATGTATTTAAGTAAACATGTGCATTCCATTGTTTTAAATCATAACTTTTCATTCATTAAACCACTTTAGGGTTCTGTTCTCGGACTTTTCGGGCTTGAATTCAGCCAAGCCTGAAGAGTTTGCTCTTCTAAAAGGTAAGGAATGAGGAGCAAAGTTCAGATGGAGGGCACTGCAGACCACAGGATTCGGGTATGGTAAGGCCTTTGAGATTAACTTGGGAGCAGATTCTAGGAAACCATGTGAGGGCACCATGTGCCCTGAAAGTTGTTTACCTTGAACACACTGGGAACTTGAAGTTTTGGTGATGGGACTCCAATCAAAAAGTCAATGATCACCATTGTGAAGATAGTGAGGAAGACAGCAAAGTCACTCACCATGGAGCGTACCTGGCATGAGAAAGGATTGGAAAAGTGTTTTATTAGGTTAAATTCAGTAGAAAATAATTTAGTATTATAAAAGTTTTAAAAGTCCTTAGAAGCATGTTTTCATTTTATAATTGAATTAACATAAGCATATTTCAACAACAGGAATATGTTAATATGTCCAAGTTAATACTCCAAAAGGGTGGATATGATGGGGGAGAAGGATCTATCCAACAAACTCTCATGTCACCACCCTGACTGTGAAGAGTTCTGTTCGGAGCACTCATGCCCAGGTGTAGGCAATAGTTCTGAGAACTTGGAATAAGATTTTCTGGGACCAGTCAAGGTCCATTTGTGCCAGCCAAGAACCTTGGCGGCAGCATTGACTCCTCTTCTCCCTCATGTCCAACACCTCATCTACCTGCACATGAGTCCTGTTGGCTCCACCTTCAGAATCCATCCCGGATCTGAGCACCTGTCACCACCTCCACTGTTCCTATCCAGATCAAGTTCACCATCAGCTCTTGTCCCGGTAAGTACAGCAGACCCTTAACCTTACTCTGCCCTTGGGGAGCCTGGGTGGCTCAGTCAGTTAAGCGGCTGCCTTCGGCTCAGGTCACAATCCCGGAGTCCCGGGATGGAGCCCCACATCAGGCTCCCCACTCAATGGGGAGTCTGCTTCTCATGCTCTCTCTCTCAAATAAATTTTAAAAAAATAAAAAAATAAAAACCTTGCTCTGCCCTTCTTGAAAGCTGCCAGACTGATCATTGAAAACAGAAGTTGGATAAGGTCACTCCTCCATGAAAACCCTGAAATGGTGCCTCATTTCACTGAGGTGAACACCCAAAAGGGCTTGGCCTCTGAGGCCCACACACTGCAGTCATCACCTCCCTGAGCCCAGCTTCTAGGGCTTCTCCGCTTGCTCACTCTGCTCCAGTCACACAGACCACTGTCTTGTTTCTTACATGTTCCAGACTCACTCCCACCTCAGGGTCTCTGTGCTTGCTCAGAGACCTGGAATGCTTTTTCTCCAGGTAATGTCTCAGGTAGCTCCCTCACCCCCTTTATGTTCACGCATATATCACCTTCTCCTTGAGGTCATCTCCGATGACACCACCCTCCACTCCAGCACCTCCTCTACTCCTTTCCTGCTTCATTTTCTCTATAGCACTTCTCACCGTTTTGTGCCCCAGAGGGCTTTATAGTTTAGTGTAGCTTTTTTTTTTTTAAAGATTTTATTTATTTATTCATGAGAGACACAGAGAGAGAGGCAGAGGGAGAAGCAGGCTCCCAAGGAGCAGAGAGCCCGATGCGGGACTCGATCCCAGGACCCTGGGATCATGACTTGAGCCGAAGGCAGATGCTTAACCATCTGAGCCACCCAGGCGCCCTTAGTGTAGCTTTAATAAAATACAATGCCTCTAAAATGCCCAGTGCCTACCTTAATCTGAACTTCCAACAGAGATCGAGCAAAATATATCTAAGCCAAAATATATCTTAACCTGACTTTGCTTTCCTTTGAAACCTGAGGTTTCCGGCTCCCTGAACCTGGTTTTATTAGTTTTCTTCTGAATGTTACACAAATTCTCTGCACCTGTACCTGCCCCCACCATCATGAGCCATTTTGGGCTCATCTGACCAGCCTGGGGTCCAGTGGCCCTCTCCCCTCTGAACTCCTATGGCCCTGACACCCAACTCTCTACTGCTCTACGCATATGGACCTGTATGTTTCATATGTTTCCCCTTCCTAGATGATGGCAGAAACCATATTCTAAACTTCCTTTGGGGCGCCTGGATGGCTCAGTCGGTTAAGTGTCTGCCTTTGGCTCAGGTCATGATCCCAGGGTCCTGGGATAGAGCCCCACGTCAGGCTGCCTGCTCAGCGGGAAGTCTGCTTCTCCCTCTGCCCCTTCCCCCACTCCTGTGCTCGCTTTTTCTCTCAAATGAATAAATAAAATCTTTAAAAAAAAAAACAAACTTCTTTTAGGGGCGCCTGGGTGGCTCAGTTGTTAAGTGTCTGCCTTCAGCTCAGGTCATGATCC